GGGAATAACAATACTGCAAGTATTTTCACCAGAAATGTAAGTGACGATTCAWTCATATTTTTAATCCATTATTTACTTATTTATTTATTGAATTGTTTTTTTTCTGTCATAATAATTTGCTGACAAGAACTTTTCAAAATATATATAGGCCAAAGTAAAAGTTTGTTAAAAATTTTTGGATGGTTTTTGACAAGTGTCATCTTCAGAAATAGTGGGTTTTTTTTCTTTTACAGTAATATTAAAATTTCCCCCTTTTATAATACACGTACTCAACAAAGTTACTAACCTTGTTGATTGTATTATAAACAAAAAATGCACAATGTTCTTCTCCTACAATTCGGAATTTATAGATAATTATTAAAGAAATAACTTTCTATTAAAGGGAATACAATAAGAAAAAAGTTTGCATGAACAACCAGACTTTATCACAAAAATCACACAATCTTATTGTACAATTTGGAATTTATAGATACTTGAGATGGTTTAAAAGTTCTCAAATTGGACTCACCTTTTCTTATTGTATTACCTTTAATAGTTACTTATTTATTTAATAATTATCTTTTTTTCATTCTCATTTTCAATTTGGTGTGCTTATAATTTGTATTTGCTATGAAAATAATATATATATTTTCCTTTTTGTACTTTTTGTAGCATGTACAACTTGTCACATTGTTAATTATCCGAATTTGTAAATAAGAAAAAAGCAAGATTACTGACAGRAAAATAAAAGATCTAGGTCAAGCAAATCAAATTAAAAAGATTTTCTTCAAAATCAATTTTGTCAAGGCTTGTTTGCTCATGTGCGCTATAATACTTTCCGATTAAAAACATATTTACAGAAGTATATACAGGAAAGGGTTTCGTATAAACAAAATGCTTTAAAGACCCGAATAATTGGTTAAAWATGCATATAAAAATTATTGGTATATCGTTCAATTTACGCGTAAAATATTGATGACGATCACATGTCAAACACAAGAATCCCATTTGGCTGGCAGTCAAGAAAATTGTAGGCAAAATATGTCGAAMTAAAGGAGGAAAGCCTTAACGTCATGATCTAAATCCTTCGTATTCAAAAGCCAAAGAKTATTGAAAATGAAGAAAAAAGTAAGTAACAGTCCATTGAGTCCAGAGTAAAATGAAGTATTAAATTTGACCTCCAGCACTCACCTATTGCTCCTAGACATGATGAGTTGTCGGCTTTAGTTGTAAAATTATATACGATTTCTAACAAATAAAAGAACGGTATACGAGCCAACACGTTRAGAAAACGTTCCATGGATGCCTTAAGCTTTAACCATGTCGTTTCTAAGTCCATGATAAAAAAGATTTCTTGTTTTACATGCGGTCAACGTTTCACCAATGCACCAACTTATCGATCAGACGATTATTCATGAACAACTAAACTACACTAGGGTGGGGAGGGTAACTTTTGGATAAATAATATTCTTTCTTAAATTATTTATTTTTTTGTTCAAAAGAAATCGTTATTTACTGGAAAAATAGTTTAAAAAAATAAATATTAAGATTATTAGATGCTATTTATTATAGAAAACGTTTTTACAGGGTTTATTGTAAATTCTGTAACTAACACTTCCCACCTCTCGTGCAAATGTCAGCTGATCTCAAGCTCACTTCCTCTCTTACCAGTCCTCGTAGACAGTCTAAAAACAAAATGGCGGACGGAACTATGAAAAGATGGCTTCTGTATTCAAAAATGGAATATRAGGCTTTAGATTGTTGAAATATCTAAATTTCTGACGATCTTATAAAGAGRAAGTCTTGGTCTTATCATGGGTTCCTTAAATGACGTCTGGTTGCAAAAGATCAAGGAGTTTCGTGGGCTTTATTTGGGCGAGAATCTTGAAGTGACTGACAACTTTCTATTGGATAGCYTTGAGGTGAGCTTTATTGGAAAGAATATAGCTTACGATTTGAACTTAAAACATATCCAATGATTTGTGCATTTGGTTTTTCATAGGCATTGTGCCGAGAAAACATTGCAGAGTATGTCAAGCTGCAGATCTTATTCGCACTACAAGAAAAGGTCAGTTTACTAATTATTACTGCTTTGTGCATTACTTCCAGTGACATTGATAATAATTGATTAACTTTTTATGACCTTTATATTCTAGGTATCAAGCATGGTTGTGGATACGACAAGGTATGGAAATTTATACCATTGCTTCACTGATGTTAAGAATCTGATAGGAGTGTTGTCTGTGATGTATATCCATCACATCCCTTGCATAGACCAGGGGGATGTACAGACAAAATGGGAAATAACTACATKTATAATGTTTAAATCATACTATAATAATCTTTTTGGCTTGAAATATGCTGACTATTCTGCTCAAATAACTCCATAAAAAATGTTTTATAAACTGATTGGTCTATGAATAGTTTTTAGAGTTGCATGATATATTCAAACTATTTTTAACATCTGTGTTTTTCAAAACAGTATAGAATGTGCTGTTGGATCACTGAAAGACATGTTTCTACACCCATCTAKTAACCCTTCACAATTATACCTCAGTCAAGTAAGTTATAAGTGATTGTGGGTTCCCTKTGTAGATTCATAGAAGCTGCAGTCCACCCATTTACCAAAATTATGCCTATTTTTGAGTTCCCYGATGGTGAACAATGAGTGATATCTTTATTTTGCCTAATTTTTTAATATATAATGATGTGGATTTTTTTATTTCAAAACAGATACTGGTGACAGGATCCTGTCTTGTCATTTCTTCAGATCTTCTCGTAAGTCTTGTTTTTACAATCTCTTTTGATATTCATCTAGTTCTGATAATTTGTTTTTAGAAATAKGCATTTTTTTCATTGTTATTTCAGGTAAAGAGCAGTGACACTTTTGTTAAATTTGTTGGAGTTTTGACAGATGTTATAGAGAAGGTAGAATATTCCAGAACTAATAACAACAACYTAGAAAACATTTATTGAACCAGGACTTTCCTAGTCTCCTCAGCAGCTGTTCTTAGTGTTGGTCTGGTAAACGCTTCYCACACGAACGGCTGCTGAGAAGACTAGGACTTCCCAGAACTATTTCCTTTAATTTCTGTTTTCTTYTATTTCCCAAATGATTTGCTGCAGGCTAAAAAATTTTTAAGATCTTTTGAGTCATCAATTACTGGGGTGGATGCAGGGGCTGCAGACCCGGGGGGTACTCTTGCCCGTTTAGGGTAGGGATGCGCTGCTGAGCCCTCTGAACCTTGACCCTGTTCCAGAGCAAGATTGCTGAAAACCATACCCTTTTCCGGTAGTGAGGAAATAGATACCCTGTTTCAGAGAGGAGAGAGCATSATTTCATATACCCTGTCCCAGAGCGAGAGCAATTTTATATACCCTGTTCCAACCATACCCTGTTTGGCGGCATGTACCCGTATAGCAAATATAGGGCAGTACCCCCCCCACCCCCCAGGCTGCAGAGGAGGTGGGACAAAGGGGCTACAGTACCCCCCCAACCCCCTCCATATTTCCCTTTTCCTTTACTAGTCTCTTTTATTGTCTCAATTTTAGTCCACTACTTTTTCTGATACTAGTCAAATTTACTTTCCAATCTTGGGAGGGGATACTATACACAAGCAGCCAGTAAACCTTAAGATGTTGATTAGATCCCATAAGCAATAAAAGTGCTAAGTTTACCTCTGTTTATACTTACTGCATATTTACACTCTATTGGTGTTTCTTTTTGTTTACTAGGTGAACAGTCTCCATAACTTACTTGTCAGAAAGACAGCTTGTGAGTGCTTATGGGAGCTAGAGCTCAACTATCCTGTAAGTTGTGGTCTTCTCTAGCGACTTATTAAATTAATTTACTTGTTGATAACTTATTACCATTAATAACTTTACTTCACTTGAAGTTGGGAAGTGCAGTAAAATTTGATTCATTGTGTCTTACAACTGTGGGCATGTGTTCTATTTGCCTAAACCTATCATTGTAAGCAAAATGCTTGTGTTTTAAATCCTGTGGTAACAGTAAATCTAGCTTGGAGTGCTAAAATAGATCTATTGAGCTTCATGTAAGCTACATAAAAATTTTAATCCTACTGAGTGTATCATTTAGCTTTAGCTCACAAGACATACACATTCATTTTGTTCTAGGGATTGTTGCAGTCTAAGTTAAATTATTTCTACAAGCATTGTGAACATGAATCCAGTCCTATTTTCCAAAGCTATCTGGTATGTTTTTTTCACCAGCATTTTAATATTTTGTTTTTATTTCAAGTTACATGTACCTTGCTGAATTTTCTTTAAATTCTTCCAGATTTTGTTTGTCACTGTTCTTCACCACACCATTGAACATTTGGCTTCAAAATCATATGCATTTTATGGGTAAGGAATTTTAAAAAAATATTTAATCAAATTCCTAATATTACCTGAATCTAACATACCACAAAAATTGATGCCATATCTTTTCTAGTCTAGAGACACAAAGCTTGAATAAGTTGTTAACTGATCACTCTGAGCCAATGAAGGTTAGTTGGTTTGTTAGACCCTTTCCATAAATTTCCAGTAGAATTGAAGCTAAAGAAGCTCTAGTAATTAAACTTCCTGTGAGTAAAATGTACTTCAATAGTCCCTTTCACAGTTCCCTGCACCATCTTGAAAGGTAGCCTTGCCTTTGCATTGACACAAGAYGAACGGTGAGCTTGGAATAATMGAGACCTTTTTTAACATCTTGGAYGATTATTATTCACAAGTCTCTATCRTTGCAAACTCATTGCTCATCTTGCTTTGATTCAAAGGCCTAGCTACTTTTCAAGATGGCACAGGGAACTGTGAAGGGGGCTATATAAAAGTGTATCATAATAGTACTACAATTTGTTTGCATTTACTTATGAGTGACCAGCATATAGCTTAAACTCACAATAATTTCTATTGTGGYATTCTCATTACAGCCACTGGTTCTTCCCTCAAATGTTTCAGGAGAAACCTTTCCACTTGCTCTTCATGTGAGTATAATGGTGAAATGAATAAATAAAATTAGTTTTATCAACTCTAGTTGATTATGGATGGGATCCCCATTATTGTGGTCATCCAAGCCACTTAAGGTCTAATCAGTTGCAGATGTAATTACAAAGGCAGCACCTTCTCCTCATTTATTTTAAGACCCTGAGTGTTGGTCCTTCTGAGGCTTGAACCATGACCTCTTGCACAACAGACCAATGATTTTAATTACCAASTGAGCTAATAAGGTGGCTCAGTATATCAATTTTTTAAGCACAATTTGATGTTTGTATCTTTCAGTCTCCGCCTTGTGGACTTCCATTTTCCTACCTTCCTGAGAAAGTAGACTCCAAGGAACTCAAAAGAGCTGTATCATTCCTAATGGAAAACATTGGTTTTCTCAACACAACATCTTTGTTTTATGTGATGCTTGAGGTAGGTAAGGGTTTTTTTTCTCATTTAGTCCCAATAGACCTATTTACCTTGGGCATAACTTTTTCTCATTTCAGACCTCATCTCACTCTCTTGAGAATAAGATCTTTGTTTAAGTTGTATCTATATTCGATTCATGTGTCTTCTCATGCACACCACATACTCTAGGAAATGTTACATGTTCTGAAAAATCTCAAGATYACTTCTAGTTCACTTTGATTTTCCAACTCTACATATTAACTGGAAATGGTATAAATTTTTCTTAATCTTTCCTAGCTTATGCACTGTGTCAAGCTTGCAGGACTATCACCAATTGTGAGTATTCCTACCCAAAGAAAAATACACAAATGACTGAAAAATATCTTCCATAACAAAACATTTGCTATTAAGAAGTTTAAGTCAAGGTTCAGTTTTCAACAGTTTTCATTGACAAGACTGTGTCCCTCCATGTGCCCTTTTGTTAGAGGGTATTTGTTAACTTTGTTCGTTTGTGCGTTTGTTCAACAGACTTTCAAGTCACAGTTCATTCAGTGGCTTCCTTCAACAGACATCTGTGTTTTCCATGTGCTACTCTTCATGAAGGTACTATAAGCTCTGATATTTTGGATGCAAATACAGTTGACTGTCAATGAAAAAATCCCTTTGTTTTACCTTTTTACAGCTGAAGTTTTCTGTGGACATGTTTCGAGAAGAAGAAGATATGCAACTGTTACAAAGGTAAGAATAATACATCATCGTCACTATTCCTCATGCTAGAAGTTACTAAGTTGCATTGGTGCAGACACGGTGCAACATTGCACACAATATTGTACACAGTCCTAAAGTAGAATCATTTTTCGACTTCAGGAACATTGCGTACAACAAATTACATCATGTGAAATGGTTCACAACATCAATTGCCTACGATACTGTGCGTAATGTTGCACCGTATGTCCAAAGCTTAAGGCTAGAAGTATAGCACAAAAATGGGTTGTCAGGAATAAAACATTTTTTCACAATTTTTAACCAGTTATTGTTTTTTTCACAATATCCTGCAGGCTTTTGGTATTAGCCACTCAGCCAACTTTACAATCCGATCTGCGACTTCTGTCTTTTAAATGGCTGATGCATTTCCCAGAGGAACTGGTGAGAAAAGAATACAAAAGTGAAAGATGCCTGTTATGCTAGGAAAAACGATGCGTTGTTACAAATAGACAGTACTCGTACTGCCCATGCAGTTGCTCCGCTGTCTTTGAAATACAATCACATTACATCATGGTTGTATCATTTTGGTTCTWTTACGACATTTCGATGCTTTTTGCGCTTGATGTCTCAAACAGAATTTTTGCGACCAACCGCGTACGAAGGGAAGATTGCGCTATCCAACGGATAAATTTATTGGATAACAGCATCGACTTTATCCACTGGAAAAGGATTTATCCGTRGAATAGCGCTATCCATTCTTCCTACAACCGGACCCAGTTGTCAAAGTCCAAATATGGTTTTTGCAATAATTTACACCTCTATAAAACGACCAATCTCTATTTAGCGACCAAGTTGTAATTACTCAAGGATTACAAGTTCTACTGTTGCTCATTTTCTTTCTTTTTTTTCACAATGCCATTACCGTTTCTCATTAGTGCAAGTCAGGACGTGCTCCCACCGAGCCTACAGCTTATGCTTTCTTCATCGATGATCTTCAAATAAGGAATTTCTATCCCACCAGTTTTGACAATATAGGYAAGTGTATTATTGACCGAGAATTTTTTGGATTAAATTGTTTGATATCGTTATTTTTGAAAAAAAAATCTTGAAGCAAAGGAGAGCTTTTCTCACGTGACCTCGASGACCAGAAGCTGCAGCTGAATGGGTTGTGCAATGGTTGTTATCTTAAATAAATCTAAATATTACATTTCCTCAGATATAATACAAGACAAGTTAAAGCTTCTTTGCCTGTATTTGTGGTCAAATGACATTCAAGGTAACAAATTGAAACATTGAAAAAAAAAAAAAAGATTTAGTTTTTGATAATGCAGCCTTAAATGAGTTTTCTGACTACTTTATTTTTTGCTCAGTCTTTTATATATATTCAAATAGAAACCAATGTGTTGATGGACTGTCTCTCCCTGATCAACAAACAAGTTCTCCTTGGTGTTGGCGGGAAAAGTGTGCGCGCACTTTTCCGGTCATTATTATGGTATTACACATATCTTCACGAAACCTCCCTTGCACAAGACATATACAGGTAAGTTAAGCGTCTGGACCATAGTACTCTTGGATGCATGAGGTTTTTATAGGGGTGGGGTGGGTGGGACAGAGAGGAAACTAGAAAGAGCCTGATATGCAAACGTGGGAACAGACGTAGTTGCCCGTTTCCTCACCATAGTTCTCAGACTAATCTTGTTTTTGTTTTTTTTAATTTCTCACCTATTTTTCCAGACTTATCATGTCTGTTATAACAAAGCACCCAAAGTTCATGCCTCACGTGGTTGACTTCTTAGATACTGTTACTATGGTGACCCCTGACAGGTAGGTTACCTTTCAAGTACTTATTGCTTAGTAACGCCCTTGGTCAGTTCAAAGCAATTTGTTTTCTTTATTCTTCAGTCCATTCCCAATGGACCTGCTCAGAGTGTTGAGCCAGCATGTAGTGTCACAGCCTGTGTCAGCAGTATTACCCAACCTTCCACATCATTTAAAGCTTCTGGCACAAACCATGAGAAAGTCTACCATCGATCCATCTGTGAGTCTTGTTTTGTCTTTTGGTTTGGGTTTTCTTAGATTTTTGGATCCGTTGCGGTGTACTGGGCAGCCTCTGGCAGACAAAATGAAAAAAATTGTACCCAGGGGTCTTGTCGTTTAAACGTTCTGGATAAATCTTTTTTTCTACAGTCTACCGTCCAATTTCTCAATCAAATCCTCCAAACATCAGAAATCTCTAGTCAAGGGAGCTGGAGCCTTGGTAACGGTATCCTAGCAGTTTGTCACAGCATTCTTTTACATCAAGACACGCGACAAATAGTAAGAGGTGAGACAGCTATATCCTTACCCTCCCATCCCTTATCATGTCGCGGACATGCGCAATAAAGATCGCGAGGCACAGGGCCAGACTGTTAAGAAAATCGAACTGAGTCTAACTGTCTACCTTAAAGCGTTGCCCAGTCCCCAAATGACWAGTGTCCAATCTTCCTCTCATTTCTACCAAGGGCTATGCGCATGCTTTTGAGTGGTTCTAGTTTATTTCCAGGAAAAAACAATTTAATGAGTTTTTCAATTATAATTACCTGTTTTTAGATCTTGGAAATCTACTTTTATACATGTCAACCACATATCAAGACATCGGTATCCTTTGACTRTCCCAGTGACGTCTATTTTTACGTAATGTTGGATTATCATTCATTATGAGGTATCAGTCTTAACTTATGCCGTTCAGATATCAGGGATCGTGCAAGGTTTTACTATTCACTTCTAGCGAATGTGTCTAGTAAGAAGGTGAGAAATGTTTCCTTTTTCTATTGCTTTGGCCAAATACTGGGAGAAATTTTATATAATAGTGTTTGGAAAGAAATGGGAATTTGATGTTCGCTAAAACGAGCTCACTTCTCTTCAAAGCTCCTAAAATCCYGTGTTCCAACAAAAATAAATAGGCGAAAATAGTTTAAACCTTATACTTGCATTGCGTTCATTTTTGGCAGGCTTCTAAGATACTCACCTCAGACACTACAATGAAACAGTCTCTGACTGTGATGGCGGGTAAGATTGAGACATTATTACAATCACTATTTAGTAACAATACGTTGGTTTGGAAACGTGACTTTTGAGCAAATTTTACGCGAATAAATATTTAAAAAAAATTAATTTGATGGAAACAACATTTTTTATTCTTTTAGATGGATTTTTTATCAGGAAACCTTCGGTTTCTCTTAGTACTTTACTCAAGGGCTATTATTGGATTGGTTAGGATTTCGTGCATTTTGATTGTTCAGTACGGAAGCCATTTAAAAGTGTCATCGTACTTCATCTTCCTTACATCGATCGATCTTTGCTTTTGTATTTCAGAAGACATAACTACAACTTCGTTTTCTACTGCTCCTCCTGTACAACACATCAAAACTTCATTTTTAAAGATAACAAGGTAGTGTTGCATTCCCAAAAACCCTCTAAAAGGCTACATCACTCCCAGATTTATGTGTTGTTTTGTTTGAATTTTSTTTCCTTTTGTTGATGTTTACGTTTAGAATACCGAAGGATGTTTTGGAACCCAAGAAACTCGCTAGTGAGGCAGTTGAATCCACGCTGGACCTCCAGCCTTACGGTGAGCACCTGATAGACCTTGACGGTTCGTTTTCGTCCTTGTGTCCATTAATCGAGGGAATGGGAACAAATGCTACTTCCTCCGTCTGTGATTGGCTAAAAGGACAAACAAAAAACAACCAAAATCGCTCTTTTTTTGTGAAATGACGTAAATAAAAACGAACCCAGAATTTCGAAATAAAGATTTTTGTGTTGAAAAAATGTAATTGCGCATGCTCATATGACCGCTGACCTATTCCTCCTCCAACCCTAAGCAGGAAAAGTGTTCACAACATATTGAATATTAGGTGTTTTCCTTAGGTCTCTTGGGTCACTACTGTAAAATGATCAACGATAACACATGGAATAGGGACATATCTATCGACTACTATGTACATTATGTAAGTGAATATATAAATGATGTTATCCTGTATCTCCCGCCCGGTACCAAAATGCAAGAAGAAGAATATGATTTCTTTTGTCTTTTAAGGCTGATCCACAGATTCTTACGTCTGCGCCCAGCAGATTATACGCACTTGTGTTACAGATAGACGCCAACAAAACATACGAACCTATACAAGGTATGTATACAACAATGGTAAGCAGTTAAAGAGTGGGCTATTTGTAACGGCATCCCCAGGCAAGATGGAATCCATGTTGGTGGTCGATTGACAAAGGATGCCAATAATCAGAAATCYCTTGTTGAATTACCACCAACATGGCCGCGAGGACGTAACGTGCAAATGAAGAATTGGCATGACGGGTTTATTTTACTACAACATCCAGAATGATTTGCGAATTTTCTTTTACTTTGAAATTCACGTGGTGTCAAAAAATAGTAAGGAATTTGATACTAATTACATGTAAGTGACAAAAGAAGGTGCGCAAAGAGTTCTGGTAGCTGTAGTACATCTTTGCAGTATAGGAAGTGTGCTTAATTTATTGGTTGCATTTGTTTTTCTTATATGTAAAACAAAGTTTTTAGCGGTTGTCCTTTTACTTTTTTAAGATATCCACATTCCATCACTATCTGCTGCAAATTCCTCCGAACCAAAAAGAGGTAAAGTAAAATCCCGGTGAAAATAATCTACTTCATCCTCGTTTTTCTAGCATTATCGAAGCACGAAGATATTACACTTCATGAAGTGATCTAAAATGGCGGAAACACATTATGCGCAGAATAATATTATCTACCAAAAGAAAAGGAAGTTCATTTTCTCTTGTGTCTACCCGTTTATTCTAATTTACAGGATGTCAGAAAATTAAAGTCAAGTTTACACCTMGGGAACCAGTCCCTGCTCGATTTGACGTTCGGTAAGAAGATTTCTCATACTGCACTTACTGCGATTCCCAGTCACACGCGACCAAGTGAGACCTAAATCACAAACGAAAAATAGTAGTATAGGGGATGGGGGTATCACCGCAGTCGATACACGGTAAATTCCCGCAGGAATTCCTCCCCCGATGATTACCCGTGCGGGAACAGCGCACCCATCCACTATATATTAGGTGGGAAGGAATCTAAGTAGTATATAGTGGATGGGTGCGCTGTTCCCGCACGGGTAATCATCGRGGGAGGAATTCCTGCGGGGATTTACCGTGTATCGACTGCGCTGATACCCCCATCCCCTATACTACTAAAAATTGAGTTTTGGTGGACGTCAATCAAAAGGGTTTCTTAAACATGTCTAAGGATTCCGACTCCGAATTTCAAACGTTTAACTGCAAACTATCAGTATTGACTTATCCTATCTTGAAGAAACTCAAATCATAGCAATAGCTTTGCAATCAAGCGTTAAGACTCGGAGCCGGAATCCTGCGACATTTTTGAGAAAATATATCCGCAGAGTGAGAAATTCACAGCGACAAGAAGCATGAGATAAGGACAACGATTTTTGCACATTTGCACGTGTTCACGTGAGTATTCACATCAGCCCTGGTGTAGAAACCAATAGAAACGATAGAAACCCTTTTGATTGACGTCCACCCAAATTCAATTTTTCGTTTGTGATGAAGGTCTAGTTGGTCGCGTGTGACTGGGAATCGCAGTAAAGTTTCGTTTGTCGTTGAATGTGATTAGAARGTTTAAGATCCTCGTTTACGGCAAACGTGAAACGTCAGTTGACCATTCTTTAAAATTATTTAAAATTAGTGAAAAGGAATCGCAAAAATCTCCAAGTAGTAAATAAACAAAAGAATACTTGTCTTTGTCGAGGATTGCAAAAGGTAAAGTGAAATGTAGGGAAATGATGAAAACGTGGTCACGTTTGCCGTTTGCGAGAAGGAACCTATTATCTTAGCAGAGAGCCGGGGAGTTATGCATGACATCATTATGCGCATGGTTGCCTTGCATGAGTTGTTTTCTTTTTAGTGCTAGTTAGTTGCTCCTGCAAATTACTATAATATTTTTTGCTTTTTGAGAATATTTTGCTTTGTCTTTAGTGCCGTGTTTCAAAACGAAACTGGATTGACGTGTACGATGGCTTTAGATCAACTCGAAATACGATTCTCGGATCTATTTTTACCCCTCACACTACCCGAGATGTTTCAAAAGGTATTTAGTATATAAGTTCAAAAAAAGCGCTCTTTATACAAGACATATTTATGAACGGCTACGTAAACGCGTTGAGACGAACACCCTTTTGGTCTGGGTATATTCTTTGTTAGCTTCGTTCTATCGTATAACTAGGGTTCTTTTGTTGTTTCTATTGAATAGTCCCTTTCACAGTTCCCTGCGCCATCTTGAAATTAAGGTAGCCTTYGCATCGAACCGAGACGAACGGTGACCTTGCAATGATGGACACCTTTTTAAAACACCTTAAACAATTAATTACAGGTCTCTATCATTGCAAGCTCGCCGTTCGTCTCAATTCGATGCAATGGYACGGCTACCTTCCAAGATGGCACAGGGAGCTGTGAACGGRACTATTACGTAAACTGTGTCCGGTACGCGAAGGAGCCCTTGGTCTTCGTCAGGTAACTGATGGTTGGACGCTTGTAACGTGATATGCTAGGCCGGCCTATACGTAGTTGTATAGTTATTGCCCAGGTTTGTACTAACAAGTTTATGTCTGTCTGTCTTTATTGATGTAACTCCACTCATGTCATCTGATACATTGAACTTTATCTTATCGTCTTGTAGGAAAACATGGTTAAAACAAAAAAAAGGCTCTTTACAGACTTGTGGGAGAGTGTGAAGGATAACCAGAAAACAATGTGAGTGTTGCTGTGGTATATTATGGATACATGCAAATGACGTGCAAATGAGACAATAAGCATTGTATCGAGMCTCGCTTGTAAGATTCTTAGAACAAAAGAATATAACTGTAATAACATTTATTGAAAGGAAAAGTCTTGTGTATACACCTGTTTCGAAGGCGATAGGCGATAGGTCATTCCGAAACGGAAATGGTTTTGTGGACTACAAACGACATTGAATCAGTCTCAACCCTAAGGTACACAAGTCATTCCAGCTTTTCTTGGACTAATCTTGGAATGACCTTTGTCCTATTGCTTTTCACGGACCTTTTCACRCGGCGCCATTTTTATTCCCATGAGAATAAAAAAATGTTGAACCACGCGGCGTGGGAAGATGTGTTGTCATCAGTCGACATGGAAGCCGCGTGATAAAGGTCCATTATGGTTTGTTTTGATGTTCAATTACAGTGAAACACTGTTCAACAATGGAGCCATGTCAGTTGTCTGTCTGTCCATGGAATGGGGAAAAACTCAAAACTTCCTACAGAAACAGCTCGAGTCCTTCATAATCGATAGCAAAGGTATGGAAAATATCACTGGACTTGGGCGTAATGCCTTTCCACTTTACACCACACTGTTCTCTTTTTTTTTTTTTTTTTCTTTTTTTCTTTTTTTTTCTTTTAACATTTTTATTAATCATTAAACAAATAAATTAATTACCACACTGTTCTCTTGAATATTGCTTTTCAAGGAAGAAAAATATTATTCATCGTGGAATAGTAAATATATAAATTCAGGCATTGCCAAAGGTTGTACTGCCTAAAAGCGAAGCTACTCTTAGAATTGAATTGTCCTCCTAGACGGTACTAACCAGACGGTATCGTACCAGTTGAAAGGACAAACGCTACTCTCAAAAATGAATTGYCCTTCTAGACGGTATTAACCATGTTATCGTACTAGTTGAAAGGACAAAGCTACTCTTTGAAATGACCGTTAAGTAAGTGAACGATTTTTTTTACAGATAACGAGGTTCACGTAGGAATATTTTTGCCTCCTCGTCAGCATCTTCTACTGAAGTTGACCACGCGAAACCAAAAGACAGTCGTCGCCATAGCGACAGATGACTGGAAAATTCTGGGACTTGTGGAAAAGTACTTAAGGGAGGTTGAACTAGACGCTGTCGCAATCCAACATGGCTGCCGTTAAGTGATAGTCGTAATGCATTATGGTATAGGTTGGGTGCCACAACTCTCAACAACAACAACAACMACCTAACCAACCAACCAATTCAATTTCAATTGCAAGAGTAAAATCAAATTTCTTTATGAGAAAAAATAGGGGGAAAATGGCAAAGATCAAAATATATTAAAAAATGAAAATGAAGCTACAAAGGTGTGTAGATACAGGGAGAGCCTACGTAGCAAGTAGTTGATGTCTTAAATACAAATTATCACACATAATACAATAGATAGAACGACAATAGAATACGATAGATTTTCTGAATACATTTACATCGACTGAGTGTTATGTAGGTTCTTCCTCTAGATACATTATTTTTTTACAAGAGACAAAGAAATAAAATATTTAAAAAAAAAACAGTGGTGGCTTTGACTTGAAAATAACAGATATTCTAAATAAAATTTACAAAATAACATGTGAATATGTACATGTGTTAAAGGGCATACCATATATCCGTGAAAGAAATTGTAAGAAAATCCAGAAAGGGTTGTTGCAAGTTGGGAAAACTTGTTGCGAAAAGTAGAACGTAGACCAACTTTCTGCAACAAATTTGCGATTTGTTGCTCGTTTTTCATCACTCGTCCAACTTGTCACGCAACATTTTATGTGCAGAAGCGGCCACCATCTTGAATTATGTAGCTTGTAGCCAATCAGCGTGCAGAATATCACCGTGATAGTATTAACGCGCAACAATAGATTTGTTGCGCGACAAGTTGGACGTTTTTGTGTCTCGTATTTCAGCGCCTTAAGTTCAGTAGACCTGCAAAACTTTGTATTAGCTAATTTGTGCATTTTTTTAGCTAACCCCTTCACGAATACTTGGTATACACTCTACTAGTCTTTATACTAGTTATGGACTAGCTATGTGTTTACACTTAACATTAGTACTGAACTGGTAATCTATTAATTATATTAAACTAATAACGTATTTAAGCATGTTTTCTTGTCAACTTCATACCAAGAATGGTAATAGACCCTTTTCAAGTTCCAAATTACCGCTGTGTTTCTTGATTACAGACTCATTTACTCAGGCTTAGCCTCGAATCAGTGTCTAAATATTTACAAATACCAACAGTAAAGTAAAGAATGCACAACTTCAACAATACAAACACTTTGAAACTTGACGGACCTTGACTGGAACACGTGGATATTCTTCACAAAATCGAGGSTAAGMCTGAGTAAATGAGTCTGTTATCAAGAAACACAGCGGTAATTTGGAACTCGAAAAGGGCCTATTGTATATAATAAGTAATTATACAGCTTCTCATTAATCTCATATAGGTAACTGTCCAATTATTTTCTTAATTGGACAGGTCTTGTTGATATGGGATTAATTAGGCAGCTATATAATTAATAGGTAATGGGATTTCATGCTCCCCAATCAAGAAATAATTAGACTCGAAAAATTCCTCGGCCTACGGCCTCATCCAATTTTGTCAGTCCTSGGAATTTTCCTCGTCCAATTATTTCTTAATTGGACAGCATGGAGTCCATTATATTACATATACTTATTATATTTTATTATTATACATGGACGATATACGCTTTTCTTTATCTATTAATCGATATTTTCTATCATTACATTTGGCAATCCATTTATGACGTAACATTTGTACGCTGGTCTAATCATAACTATTGTTACTTCACGTTGGCTATTGAAAAAATAGAAAACGCGCGCGCGTGCTGTGTGCAGTCATAAAGCACACGGGGGTTGGCAGAACACGAGAGAAGTGTTAGGAGAAGCACGACGCGTAGCGGAGTGCTTCTGGACAYTTCTTGAGTGTTCTGCCAATCCCCAAGTGCTTTATGACTGCACACAGCACAGCAAGCAAGTTTTTTATTTCTTTTATAAAATACAAATTACAATAATAGATAGGAATGACGCAACGGAAAGTGCGCGCGCGTGCAATGTGCTCTCATAAAGCACGCGCTCCAAGCCAATCAGAAYGCGCCATTCAWAACAGTTATTTTATAATAGATGACATCTAATGGTAAGATGACGTCATCAAAACAACGAGAAATCGTCATGTGTATATATAAACCTATCACTCTAAGATTATAAATTTATCAAATCGTTCGATGACGTCATGATTAATAACCTCATGGCCTCGCTATCATGAGGTGGTTCACCATCGTTTACTTCACCAAGTTGTTCCAACTTGCACTAAATAGTTCGYTAATCTGGTAAAGTTAGCAGCCAGTGTAAGCATTTCTCTCTGTACCCCATATTCCCGTTCTGGSCGCTTTCATCGCYCTCAGGCTCGTAGTTCTTAGACATGATGTCATCAAACTCTTTCACGCTATTCCTTTCGTTACCCCCTTCCTTCGCTACAGGCGTGGTCATTAAGGATTTACTTGTCACGTGTTTATTGTGAACATGTTTTGTCCATGCTGAACYGGGTATGGTTTTATGTCTATTGACACCCATCTCCAATGGTCGATGTTGTGAAACTGGTAAACGAGCAACTGACGTGTTAGATTTTCCCATGGTAACTTTACTTCTTATTGGTACAGTGTCTAAGGACTTTGGAAAACTCGCCGACAAGAATTTTCGCTGTTTACTTGTGTTTGAAATAATTGAAGTTTTCGCATCCATGCGAGGGCTTGTGATTTCATTTCCTCTAGYATGTCCAMTAGGACTGCACGRTGTACYCCGTTGAGAGTTRAACACMGCCCTTGATAAATGGGTTTCTGAATGCCGTGTGATTCCAAGCGGTCTGGGATGCCGTAGAACGGTTCTTGGTCTCAAAGTTGGACCAGGGACCTCGGGCAGGTCGGATCGCTTTGTTGGTGGAGGCTTTTCGCACATTATGGCTAACATTGGAGCTCGAAACTCTCAAAGACGGAATCCGAGGAAACTCTTGCTCGTTGTGTTAGGCAACTATCGMGTTAATGACTCACTATAGCAGCGGGTATCTTTAATTGTCCTGTTAAAAGATCGGTTTATTAAAGTTTATAACTAGAAATTTGCTTGGAGATACCTGACAAGGCTTGAGAAATAGGGAGGCACTGGAAACGAGGATGTAGTAAACCGGGATGTAAATAAAGCAAGTTCAACACACTTGAAATGSTGAGTAAAAATARCATGTTTTGTTCATCRCTATACAGCACCTTAGACACATCAGGGTTGCGTCACGTGACGGCAAATCCCCAAGTAATCAGGGCCCAGTTGTACGAAGGATGAATAGCGCTATCGACGGATAAATTACCCAGTGGATAAATCCAAATCAGGGTGGCTTCACGTGACGGCAAATCCCCAAGCAATCAGGGCCC